AATTTTGATGTTCTGTCCGAGATTTCTTTATGAACACATAATTAATTTTGGTGTTCTGTCCGAGATTTCTTTATGAACACATAAATAATTTTGGTGTTCTGTCCGAGATTTCTTTATGAACACTTAAAAGAGTTTTACTGTGCTTGCTAAGCAGAATATTTTTCAGTTCCATTGGTTTATTTTTATATGATGCACACGAAATGTCAAAAGCATTTATTTAGTGGAAAAATCTGAATAGTGGCTACAGTCAACCCCCCTCTTCGAGTTACGCTCGACTGTCCGAATATTCGCAAATTTCCAAGTATGCGGGTTAGTTAAGCTTTTACTGTTAACCTTTTCGCGACGGCGCACCTTTGTTTAAAACGCTCGTGCGGGACGGAAGAGAATCGAAGGCAGTCACCGTACAGGACGGAGGTTTTGCATCGTTAAGCCTAATTTTATAACAAAAATCAGAAAAACAAAAGTTTTGCTTTTAGCATCGTAATTTTTGGTATCATTTTAGATTATTACTCGAGCTCTTATATATGTTAAAATTAGCCCTTAAAACATTTATTTCTTTATTTTACATGGAAATATACTTAAAAAATTGCTTATCTCTTCCATAATACTTTTCGGAAGAGCTATTCAAATTATTCTAAAGTTTTAATTGATAAAATCCATCAATAAAGTTTAAAATTATAAAAAAGAACACAATAAAGACTATTTACAGTAAGATAAGAAGTAACAAAAAATTTAAAATGAAAACGAGCGTGGTAAATTTCGAAGCACAGAGAAGTATCACCTTGTAACTCTTAGAAAAAGTATCACTTTTTAACCTCCTTAGAAAATGAATCAGTACTCTCATTTGCGTTAGTAAATGGTTCACTAACCATACTAGGGTATTCTTCCTCTGATAAATAGCGCCTCCTTCCCGTCATAATAGACTGGAGGTGAGGCTTTCCTAAATAAAAAAGAAGGAACGGAAATATATCTGAAGGCAATGCAAAACGTAAAAAAACTCCGCCGCACAGTAACCCTAAAAGACCGTACAAAGTAGAGGAAAAAAAAATAGAATAAAAAAGGAATTGGATATAAATCAGATACGAGAATGTTTTCATTAGCACGCAGCGATTTAAAGAGCCGAGCTGCGTTTGTTGGCATTACGATTTCCCCCCTCCCCAGCCACAGCTGACAAGCAAAATACCAAAAACAGCAGAATACAGAATATAAACAATCTGAAGGTCAGAATACTAAAACTACGTTCAGTTTAAATGTAATGGACACAGAGTGCCATCTAGTGGCTATTAAAAATTGTTTCAGCTTAAAATGCATATCTGCACTGCCCGTTCACTTGGCCAGTTTCCAGGAGTGCACGGGTGAACCGCCCGGGCCTCACATACGTCCGTACGAAATGCATATATGATTCGCCCGTCGCGAAGAGGTTAAAGGATGACTCCATGAAGCAAATTTCTATCTTCTGATTTCAGAAATGTTCCTCGTTTTTACTTAAATTACTTTGCTTGCAATATCTGTTAAGGGAAAACTGATATACAATGAAAATTTAGAAAATGTTCAGGATTTAGACTTAAATTATTTAAATATCAATATGAGTGGAAAAATAAATTGTATTTATTATTAGGTTCCAAGCGAAATACAATAAATGTGCCTTATTATTATTTATTTTCTTTATTTTGAACTGAAATTTCATCATTAAACCTTGTAATATAGTTTAGTTCTGCATAGTTTTTTTCTCTTGTTGTAAACTAGTTCTGTAAATTAAACTGTTATTTAAAATTTAAAAAAAAAGTAATTATTTTCCATGGTTGAGGTAATGCTTATTCTCTTAATAAATACTGCATTTCTCAATTTTAAATTACAATCTAATTTTTTAGGTTATGCAGTTGTGGTATAATGTAATTGACAGGTGCTTATTTTTTTCTTAAAATGTGCTTGAAAAGTGCTTATAGGTGCTTATTTTTTTAACTAAAATGTGGCTATGAATCCTGTATATATTCCATTAAATTGAATTTTGCTGATAATTCTGCCTTTTTTTTTTTAAGATGAAATGTTTGTTATGATTTGTTTAAAAGTGCTAGTCCATAATAATTTTACCAGCTAGCAATTCTCATGCTATTTTGAAGGCGTTCATAATTATAATTAAAGTAGGGTCATTGATAATTATACCTTGATGTTTAAATTTTGAGTGATAATCCTGTATGTAATATTTTAGTCTTAAAAAGACTAATCCATTTTCCTATAATATTGTGTGAAACCTATGGTAAAGAAATCAGGCTATATATAAAACTATTGGTGATTGTTTGTATATCAGCCAAGCCACTATGTTGAGAGTTAGCTATTCATGGAGGGAAAACATACTGAGGATATGAAAGGACATCCTCAACAACTTCCTGCAGGAGCACTTGTAAACTTTCCGAAACATGTATAGTGTTAGTGTATGTGGATGGAAAAGCAATAATGAAATTGTCTTTCCATGAAGTTTTGATTTTTTAAAAATCCATTCAGTCTGTAAAACTACAGATGCAGAGGATTTCTGTGTGGTAATTTAAGTATAAATGACAATGGATCTCTTAAGGTCATAAACACACTCACTGTCGAAGTTGTTTAACTACCTGTATTTTACAGTTCCACTATAAATCAATTTGTATGCTGTAATTAAGTTGTAAATTTCAATTATCTTTCTGATAAAAATTCTAAAATTTATTTTTTAATAATTTTTTTTATTTCTAAAGACATAGTTTGATTTATTAACTTGAAACTTCTGCCTGTAAACATTAATATTATACATTGATTTTGTACATATATCTCATTGAGTAACTTTTATTCAACATAGTTTTCCTTACTCATAGATGAAGCTCACACATGGAACTCTGCTCTTATTCTGCAAGACCCTGTTTGTGTGACATGTGATTTAATATCTAATTTTCTGTTAAGTTCTGTAAAAGATGAAATGTTTCTCTTTCTATTTAAATTTTATGGCACATTAAATGCTAATAGGTCATATCTCATTCTTTATAGTTATATAATTGTGAGTTATATGTTCTAGTTTCAATGATGTATGTATAATTATGTGAATTTCTTGAATTTTCATAATACCTCGGTATACGTCGTAAAGCTTTGCACTAATACTAAACTGGATGTATATCAATTGAATTTTTCCAATACAAATTCAGGGAAAATTATAAAACAATGCTAAATACTAAAATACAAATGCAGTAGGTAAAGTATATATTGTCTGTAAGTGAAAATTTACCATATGTATATCTTTTATCTCTGGCCTTTATTAAAAAATCTGTCAAAGCACTCGGCGGCTTATGTCTTCTCCTCAGGATATTATAACATGATGTGCTCATTCTTTACTGTGCTTTAGCAAATTGTGTTATGTTTTATTGTGATTGTACTTCCTTGGCAAGATTTTTACATCCACTCATTTGGCAAAGGTTTTCTTGATTTATGAAGTAGCGGCTTTCTAAATCTCCTCATCTGGGCCTGAGGAGTGTCTAGCCATCTTAATCTCAAGTGCTTTACCATAATCAAATAAACCAAACCAAACTTTAAGGATTCAGTCTGTTAGAGGTCAGTTCAAAGCACTTTTGAAAGAGTGTTTCAGTGTAGAATTACATGAAATTAAGGATGACCTGCTGGTCTGTTGGTTATGGATTATTGGGAGAAGGAGAAACTTCAGATTGATGAAATCTATGAGGGTGAGTTAGAACATTATACATTATCAGGAGGGGCCTTCAAAGGCAGATATTTTTTCCCTGAACAACTTTTTGCTTAACCCAAACATATCTAGCCATTCACTGAAATATTATCATTACCTAAGCCATCTGTTTGATGTCCACAATACAGGTACTTGAGTTTTAGGGGCGTTGTTTCTTGAAAGGCCTTTGGCTTTTCAGAGAGCTAAATCAGTAGAAACTTTCTAACTCGTACGTGCATTGCCACAGAACAAAAGAATAAGCCTCTCCTTCATTGTCTTGTGCCTTGGTAATGCCTTTTTGGTTCTTTCAAGCATTTTCAAAACAGGCCAGTTAAAAAAAAAAAAAAAAAACTAATCCTTTACAAATTCCCAAAACTAAAAAAATCATTGTCAGCATCTATATCTCCAACACTGGCTCTTTTTCCATGCCTTATAATACTGTGAATGCCTATGCCAATTGAAATTATCAAACCTCCCATAGTTGACTTTAAATACATCATCATTTTCACTTGTTGCTACCTTGTTTTCCCAAAGATCAGCTTGTACTACTTTGCCATTTCTAAAGATTCACCAAAGATTTCTAAAGATTTGTTTTTTTCTGATATTCATATCAAAAGCAATTTCTCAATACACTGCAACATCTCTGTGTGGCTCACAGTTTCTTCCCTTTCTTAATGGTAGCTGGTTTAATAGCGTCTTTATTTTTCACGGTTGTTGATACTATTGTTCTCAATATACAGTATGGAATAGACAAGTCTCAAATAAGCATGCCATCTTCATAGCTTTCAAGTCTCTTTTTTTTTTTTTTTTTTCACTTTCATGGTGTCCTTAACGATATTATGTTGTTGCTTGACTCCTCATTCATTAACTTTCTTCAAACTCATTATTTATGAATTTACAAAACATTTACATGAAAAAACTCCAAATTATGTTAAGTTTTATTGTAGGTTGTTTTGCTGAATTGTTATTGTTTACTAAATGGGTATAGGGTTAATATAGGCAGATTACTGAATGAACGATTCTCGTTGTAGGCAGACTACAGCATTATCTCATAAGAGGTAAATAAGGGTAATGCTGATAATTGTGCATCATTGAACTTGAGTCGTATTCGAAACAGATGTTCTATACCAAATGAAAATTTTCATATCCAAACGGGATGTATGTCAAGTTGGACTTATTCTAAAGTAGATGTATACCGAGGTACCAGTGTATTCTTAAACATACTTTGTGTCCAATGTATTCTTAAACATATTTTGTGTGGTTATTTTTTGTATTTATATATTTGTTTTTATAATTTCAGTTCCGGAGAATATACAGTTGGAAGTAAGTTAGTTTGTGGCTTTGTGTCTATGCATATATGTACACTGTTGTGCAAAAATTAAGGACGAAGTCGAAAATTAGCATATCAGCTGAACGAAGAGGCAAAGCGGACAGAAAGACCAATCAGGAGATTAAGTAAGGTGACGCACGGTAGCACATGCGCAGATATGCAGGTAGACGTAATGGGGGAGTGTCTGAGTAGTATAAAGCATGTTGTCGGTGTAAGATCAGTATTTCTGGCAAAGAGATTGCACGCCGTATAGCAGTTAAAATCACACCGAGTTGCTGCCTCAGCGAGAAATGGCGAATATCAATCTGTTAGACGACATCTGGCTTTTACCCGAGGTCGAATCATTGGGAAGTTGGAGGAAGGCCGCAGTGTGACAAGTGTGGCTGCAGAGTTCGGAATTGCTCACAGCATCGTTTCACGACTTTGGAGACTATTTCAAACTAGAGGAACAGCTATCCGGGGGTTTAGTAGTGGTCGTCCACGAGGAACCACACCCGCAGATGACCGGTATGTTGCCTTACAGACCAGAAGAAACAGGCGGCAGACAGTGGGAGAAATCGCTAGACACACGACACAGGCGACTGGATGACCGATATCGCGTTTTACCGTGGCCAGAAGACTGCACGGTGGTCGTCTGTTTGCACGACGCCCTGCAGTGTGTGTACCTCTAACACCTGCCCATCGGAGAAGGCGTTCTCTGTGGTGCAGGGAACACCGGAATTGGAGAGACAATGAATGGGGACGAATACTCTTTACAGATGAGAGCAGATTCAGTCTGAGTAGCGATTATCATCGCATACTCATCTGGAGAGAGTGGGGAAGCCGCTATCATCCCTCGAAAATCATTGAAAGGGACAGGTATGGAGGGTGGCGGTGTGTTCTCGTTGGGGGGCAATCATGCTTGGTAGTCGTACAGACCTTCACATCTTCGACGCAGGTTCAGTCAACGGGACCTGTTATTGTAATGAGATTCTTCTTCCATATGTGCGTCTTTTTAGAGGCTCTATGGGTCCGCAGTTCCGTTTCATGGATGACAATGTACCATGTCATCGCACAGTAGCTGCCGAACAGCTCTTGGAGAGTGAGGATATTGAACGTATGGATTGGCAGGCACAATCTCTGGATCTCAATCCCATCAAGCATGTATGGGATTTTCTAGGCAGACACTTGGCAGCTCATACCTTACCACCAGTAACGATTCCGGAGCTTCGATTGGCGCTGCGAGACAAATGGGCAGCAGTGCCTCAACAACTCATTGACACCCTCATTCTCAGCATGGGCAGATGCTGTGAAACCTGCCTAGCAGTCAGGGGAGATCATATCCCCTATTAAAGACCGGATGTTTCTTGCTGGACACCCATCACAGGGATGTTTCGGCCTTCAGTCGCATTGCGCTCCATGCTACTTTTTCAATAAAGCTTCTTTTTATCCCTCTGATTTCTCTTTTAGTAAGTGTTGCTTACATTACTCATGTCCTTACGTATTGGGGATCTTACGGTATTAAGTGTGTTGATTTGAAAAGCTTTTGTACAAAGTTATATTGAAAAAACCGTCTCGTCCTTAATTTTTGCACACCAGTGTATTTAGATATTCAGAACTTAAAGTGAACTGTCAATCTCAAAATCAGTACAACAAAACACGGTTAATTGTAATGGTGGGTAATTTAGACTTGGCAGATATTTTTGGACTTGGCAGATATTTTATGTTAAATTATTTTATTCAAACTTTTAAAGAAAGTCAGTTTTTTAAAAATTTTATTTAGAAGGAATGTAATGTTTTGAAATAAATCAGCCATTGCAGATATTTTTTCTAAGAGTTATGTTTTGTGTCTTTGTTCTTGTCTTTCTTTTGATATGCTGTGCAGTCGGAATTCTGTTGATAAGCTATGCAGGAAAAAAGCAGTTAATCCACCATTTTTGAATACATTTTATTTGCGTGCTTTTGTATCTTGTAAAGGAAACGGTTACATGCCCCATTATCTGTGATCTAGTTCTATACTATCGTTCAGTTTGTGGTAGCTTAATTGCATTATTTTACCTACCATATCAAAACAATATTGTACAGTAAGTGTTTAATCATGAATAGAAAAATCATAATTAACGAGTAGAAAAAGGAATCAAGAAGAGTGTTATTGCGAAAGAATATGGCATGCTTTTTCTCATTTTATCAGCTTTCTTAAAGAACATCAAATAAACTCATGGCTGAAAGTTGTGCTATTATATCTTTAAAATTGTGAAAAAAGTTTAAAAAAAGACTTTTGTGTTAACATCTGAAAAAGCTTGTAGGATCATTCATGCCAGTAGTTTTTTTTATTATTGTTGAAGATGCAGTGTGAGAAATGTTAACAAATGTATGCCTAACACCAGAGAAGATACTGTTCATCAGCTCTGTTCAAAATATAAAGCTAAAAAGAAGCAAGAAAATATTTACAGTCAGAATTAAACCCATCTGTTAAAAAAAAGAATAAAAATTTACATCTCTCGAGGTAAGTATTTTAAAGTCTAATTTTGACTTTTAATTCTGAGTGGTTTAATTCTAACCCATCTCAAAGAAAAAAAAAAAAAAAAAAAACAGCGAATGGTAAAAATTTCAATTAATTATTTTAAGTTTCATTTAATGATTGAATCAAAAATGCATGCTTAAATTTGAAACAGCTCTTGTCATAGATGCTGGCAGTAAGAGATTTAAAACTGCAAAAGAATGAAATTACAAAATGGGTTTGTGAATAATTTTAGTTGATTTAAGGGAAATTGTATACAAAGCTGTAATAAATGCCAGAAGTATTATTGAAGATTGTTAATCATGAAATAAAAATATTCTTCTGTGTTGCAGTATATGAAAAGATTATAATCAGCTGATTGATTATGTTTTTATACAAGTTTTATATCATTTATTGCTGATTGAAGATTTTTAATAAAACTAAGCTGTTATGATTATGTGAAATCTAGTAGAGTTAAGGCCTGATATATTCATTAGTTTTTCTTATATACTATTTGGTAAATGCAATATATTAAGTTAAAAGAAATGAGAATCATGCAGTTTTATTTTTTATCATCATGTATTTTTAGTTCATTGTCATCTCTGTCCCTGATAAACAAGATGGAGAAAGGCAACTAGAAAGGGGGGTGAGAAATAGAATGTCCCAACTCCTGAATAAATGTATTGAAGTGGAAACAATTTTGAGAATATAATATTTCAAAGGGCCATTTAAGTGGCCCTTTGATACAGACCAGAGCTAAAGTATCTGCCAAAAAATTGGAAATTGTGAATTTTAAATCTGGAGGTGTTTTGATAATTTTAAAAGTATAACATTTTAAAATATTTGTGACGTACCAAATTAGGTGCAGAAAATGCAAATAAATTGTTTATTGGGGGTTCTTTGCTGTAAGAACTAAAAAACATTTAATTTAGTTAAACCAGTCCCTTTTTCTTTCAAGTGCATGCCTTATAAATATTGTGCATTTAAAGGTCAACAATGAATGGAGAGCAAAAACAGCATAGAAAGTAAAATGGTTTTATTAGGAACAAATATGACTGACTGAGAAGTTAACGATGTTTAATGATAGGAAAACCTGACGGCCAAGAAGTTTTGTATCTGAAAAATATTACTTGGCTAGAATCTAATGAAAAAGCTTTAAAGAAGTTTAGAAGCTTACTTTTTAATGAACACAAGCTTAATCTGTTTAAAGGACATTCTGAACCTTCTGAGTGCCTAGGTTTTTGGATCTGTCACGAAGACCTGTTATTTAAAGAACCTTTATTAGCTAAATATGTATTATTTACCTATTTCAGTCTCTATTTATATAAACTTGCATTCATCGAGATAGAATTTTTATTATTAATGAAAGTAGGAAAGCAAAATATCTTAAATGATAAGCTAATATATAACAGGTGACAAAAAGCTCATGACTGGATAAAGCCGGTCATTGCGCTCAGAGGGTTCATTACACTGAGAACTGTGAAGAAGAGAACAAACATCTTGGTCACTTTCTTCAGTATCAAATTAATATGTTTAGTTCTATTGAGTTTCGAACTGGTAACCTTAGAGAATCTGTTTACTACCAGGATGTAGCAATGATCCTTCAGTTTAACATTTAGGTGATGTTTATGTGAAAAGTTTGTGCTACTTGCTGATGTTAAACTTGTCCATAGAAAATGGTTGGGTTGTATTCTAAAAATATTGAGAGTTTGATATGCATTTAGCTAGGAATTTAAAGTGGCTGTAATGTTCATATGACTCATTAAAGATTTTTTTTTACTTTGAACTTTTGTCTATTCAAACATGTATAAACATTGATAAAAACATTCCACATAACTCATTTATTAGCCTATAAGAAAATTTTTGCTCTTAAGAAAAAATTCTCCACTCATAATGTCTCTTGTTTCAAGCATCATGTATTTACCTTCTGCTATGATTTCCAGTATGTAATGCAGCCTGTAGATCAATGTATGTTACATAATCCTAATATTTCTATTGTTGCCAAGTAGTTTTAAAACTAAATAACAAAGATGCAAATACATGAATGAAAAATTGTCTCTGGTACAAGTTAATGTGATAAAGAATGTTAGCAGCATGTAGAAACAGATCATATCACATCACAGATGATCAGGATCAGATGTATTGAGTGTTTATTTCTTAATTCGTGATTTGATCAAATGTTATTTTTAACACCTTTTTTTAATATTCTTGGAAGTTGTTTAATCCATCGTGTTATAATTAAATTCTTAATTAAAAATAATTAGTTAGTCAAACACAAATTAAATTCCTTTGGTTCAGAACTTTAAGAATGTTTGTGTTAAAAATGAGTGTGTTATAATTAAATTCCTAATTAAAAAATAATTAGTCAAACACTTACTAATTAAATTCCTTTGGTTCAGAACTTTAAGAATGTTTGTGTTAAAAATGAGGGATCAAGTTATTTTTTAATATTGTTATTTAATTAATGTACAGATTGAAACATACCATGGAAAGTTTTTTAAAAAAAATTTAATTCTTATTTAGGCTTTGACCTTGATGGTGACATTGACAGGTATGTTTCTACATTTTTATACCTTTGTTTTATGCCTTGATGTACAATGTGCTGTCCAAGTTCGTAAAGAGATGCTCATCTGTTTAATTTTATTGCAGCTTCCTTAACATGCAAAGATCTGTTAACAGAGAAATAGCTCTTAGCAGAGAAAGAGCTCTTGCTATTACAAAAAGAATTATTGCTATGAGAGATAGAGCGATTGCTATTAACACAGAAAGAGCTTTTGCTATTAGAGAAAGAGTTCATGCTATTAACAGAGCAAGAGCTCTTGCTATTAACAGAGCAACAGCTCTTGCTCTTAACAGAGAAAGAGTTCTTAACAGATTAAGAGCTCTTAACAGAGAAAGAGTTAACAGAGAAAGAGCTCTTAACAGAGAAAGACCTGCAAGTCCTAATGCTGTAGACAGAGCAGCTGCTCAAGTAAGTGTTTTTGAGCTTACGGGAGGGAATACAGTCAAAAGTCGTTAATCCGTACTCGTCGGGACTTGGCGATTCCGGATTATCGATTTTTCCGGATTATAGATCATCAGTTTAAATCTGGTAAGATGGCATGCAGAAATTATAAAATTAAAAATATGAAACCGTAATTTATGAAATAAAGAACAATTATGATCTAAAGGGTATCAAAATTTACAAAAAAAAAAACAACTTAATATTTATTTGTTTTTTTTATTAAACATTTCTTTCAATGTAAGTTGTTTAAGTTGCTTCGTTTTCTGTGATAATACTTTCTCTTTAATTCTATAAACAGACATAATTTCTTGTTCGGTTACAAAGTTCCGCTGTTCAAGTCCCGTAATTGCTGTGCCGAGAATACCGACTTGTCAATCGAAATGTTTTCGTTTTCAATAACCTCTGGGTCACTTTCTTCACTATCGGAAGTGAATTATAATGACGAGGAACTTGATTTAAATCATATCAAAGACGGAGCACATCAAGATAGAATACTACACTTAGTAAGGAATTATAAGCCAAATAAAATAATAACATCTGCTCTGAAGATAAGGATAGTGCTGACAGAGCAACTTCCAATCCTCGGCGTGAAATTGATAAACAGATTTCGGATTTCAAAACATACTTTCGCTTTGTAGATACAAATTACATATTAGTAAATATATATCGGAAATTCTATTTGACATATCGAAAGTTCAAGCTTACTTTTATGAAATTGCTCTAACAGTCTGCAAAAAGTAAGCCGGATCCAATTCAAAGATTAAGGAACAACGCAATCTGCAACATTAACTGAATTAGATAATTTTAGCTCAGCTTATACCTCCGTTACACATTAAATGCGCATGCGCACAAACATATTAGCAGCCGTAAAGGTCTTACACGCTCTCGTAAACGCCTGTGCGCATGCGTGAATGCGACGAATGTGACGCGTGAATGCGACGCATGCGCAGAAAGTTTGTAGCTTTGAGGTCCGGATTATAGATCATTCCGGATTATGGGTGTCCGAATTAACGACTTTTGACTGTAATAGTTGTGCTCATTCTTATAAAATTAACATGCTGATATATGGGCTTTAAATGTAACACATAACTAAATGTCAAGACTTTCTGTTTATAATAATAGCAGCATTCAGTGGCAGCTATCTTTAATTGTAATTTTACAAGGGTGATTCAAATGAAAACTTTTTATTCTAAGACAAATGAAGAAATGCAGGAATATTATATACATATGTATTAAATTTTATAATAATTATTATAATGTATTAATTTAATAATATATAATGTATTAATTTATTTTATAATGTATTAATATTTTATATGTATTAATATTTTATAATATTACATATGTATTGTTTTTCGGCATATTTCAAATCATCCATAAATACTATGAAAAGGTGAATTTGTAGCTGACCCAGCAAAATCATAGACTGAGTGTCAGTTTGTTTGCTTTTGTGTGATTGGTTGATTATTATATTAAGCAGGTATGAAGTTTACCAGGTAGAAGGGAAAGTTTAGCATGACTTTCTCAGGTAGTTTGCCAGTGTTTGTCTTTGTTAGCAAAAATGAAAACAATCACTACATGGATGAATCCATTTTAGAATTAAAGGGAACTTATTCTGTGAACACACTGAGGAAAGAGAAAATAACATGAATGTTTATATTTTCAGAACCTGGCACTAAAAAAAGCTAGTAGGAAAAATAGAGTATATCTGTTTTCATTGTGTCTGTATCCTTCCAGGGGCTCACTTATGTGGGTACGGGTGTGGCAAACTCAATGAACCCTAGCCCTTCAGGGGATCATCATCTTAGTGAAATTGGTATCACGATCCTAGATCCCCAGTGATCTATCCTCTTTTCTGTCTCCTCTCCTCTGATCTGTAACTTTTTTCCTTCTATTCTCACTTGTGACTTTCCCTCTTGAGAGGTTGGGGCTCGTCATGAGAGACTGGAACAGCCCTTGTCTCTAGTTTTCAAGTGGCGAGGACACTGCCCACTTCTTTGCCATGCGTGGAGACCCATGTCGCTGGAAAGGAAGGTCCTGCTAGTCGAGGGGCAAGGTACTGTCCCCAGCATACTGCTTTTGCCTTTGCTTCAGCTAAACAGGTGACACCTTGTCGTACTCACAGGTGTCAGACATCTGGTCACTAGTTCTTGTGGCAGTGGCTTGGGGATAAGCTCTCGGGAGTACCTGCTTTCAGGAAAGCCAACTGTGGGGCTTCAGTTTGCATTAGGTCTGGCTAGCCTTAATGCAGGAATCTGTGTTCCCTTGTTGGTCTCTGTGGTGGGTGGGATGGCCAGACTGAATCTTTTCTTTCTTCTCTGTGGCTAATTCCTATATATATCTAATTAAAGACTACCTAGTAAGCAAGTTTGGGAAGTCAGTCGCGTTGCTTTAAGTGCTAACTCTTCTGAAAAGTCTACAATTAAGAAAGTACGCACTAATGCAAATGCAAATAATTCTAGCAATAGTTCTCGTTCTCTTGTTCTCTATAGTCCTTCTGGCGAGCTTCAAAAGATGTCTCCTTCTGTGATAACTAAATATATACATTCTTGTATAGGTGAGCACAGAAACATAAAGCGTCTGCGCTCTGGAGACTTGCTTGTTAATACAACTTCAGCCATCCAGTCTGCTTCCTTACTTCAAATAACCAAACAAGCAAATGTCACTGTAGCAGCACATAAGACATTGAATTATTGTTGCGGTGTAATTTCGGAAGCCGACCTTCTGCTTGTTCCTGAAGAAGAGTTTGTTTCCGAGATAGCTGACCAAAAGGTTTGTGATCTGAAGCAGATCAAGATGTGTACGGAGGGTCAGTTGGATGACACGAAACATGTTATCCTAACCTTCAAGTCGCCTGATCTGCCAAAGACTATCAAGGCTAGATATCTTAATTGCCCCTATAAGACCTTATATTCCAAACCCTATGTGATGCTTCCAGCGCCAACCTTTTTGGCAATTCCAAAATGTCCTGTCGTAGCAACCTGATCGATGTTCCTTGGTTGGTCATGATAGTGATAATTGCACAGCATTGTATATAAATTGCAAGGGTGACCATCCAGCATTTATCCGTTAATGTGCAAAAATGAAATGGAAAAGGAAGTAGAGATGGCAAAAGTCACTAGTAACATTTCATATGCTGGAGCCAGAAGACTAGTTCAAAGCACACAGCTTCAATGAAACAAATCATATGCTAATGCCGTTGAATCAACACGTAACCATTGCCATCCAAACTTCAATAAGTACACAGACTCCAATAAATAAATCCCAGCAGACTTCAAACAAGAAAAAGGAATATCTAACACGTCATACAAAATAAAGAAATAGTTATTCCAAGCAAAACAAAAACTGTTCCTCCATAAACAATTAACAAAGATAGAAGCCCCAGCAATAGCTCTCTTGATGGGATGATTTCTGAATCTGCGGATTGAGATAGTATGGAAGTAGAGGAGGGACTGGAAGTTCCCAAACATTTGCTTCCGCATAAAACTAAATAGCAGCACAGAAAGAACAGACATCAATCATAATAGTCACTCTCATTTTATGGAACTGTTGCGGTTTCCACCGAAATTTCCTTGACATCAAAGCTATGATCAATGCTTTGATGCTTGGCAGTACAGGAGACAAATCTGAAACCAGATCAACATGCAAAAGTTAGGAGGTTTGCCTTCATCAGGAAAGATAACCTTGCAAGTGAGCGTGCCAGTGGAGGTGTAGGTCTTCTCCACCTCATAGGACTATCCAACTAGTTCCTTTCCTTTGATGACATCCCTCCAAGTTGTCGCTGTACAAGTAAATTTTTATATCGTAATTTGTCGTTTCTCTTTATTTGCCTCCAAATGAGCACATTGATCAACAGGATTTAAATGACCTTCTGATGCAGCTCCCAGAGCCTCTTATTATAATTGGAGATTTTAATGGCCATAGTCCGCTGTGGGGAAGCAAATATACTTCCATGAACCTACAAGGACATTTCATGCTCTTGATCTAGCCATCTGTTCACCATCTCTGTTGCCATTTTGCAATTTTAGTGTTGGAAGTAATCTTTACAACAGCGATCATTATCCCATTCTTGAATCTCTTGCACAAAGAGGAGCACACCCCATGTCGAGACTCCCTCGGTTTATACTCGATAGGGCAGACTGGAAACTCTTCCTCTGCAGAACTCACAGAGAAAATTTTAGAAGATGTGCTTATTGATGATGCAGTGGAAGCGGTTACAAATGCTATTACTCGGGGATCTACACTCTAAATTCCTAGAACACGAGGGAAAATGCTAAAGTATTTGAAACCATGGTGGAATCGTGGATGTTATATGAAGCACTGAAAAAAACATGGGAAATTATTTAAACATGGGGAATCATAAACTTGAATAATGATTTGTGGCTGAATTGGGTCAGACTGACCAGTCACAAGGATGCAGGTTTATCTCTCTTAATTAATCATTCCATTTCTCATAGCATCATTACATTATGACAGCTTTTAGCAGTTGAAGCCTTAGCTATTTCTATCATTCCAATCACTCTCGTCTCTCATCAGGAAGGATAACCTTGCAGGTGAACGTGCCAGTGGAGGTGTATGTCTCCTCACCTCACTGGACTATCCCTCAAGTTCCTTTCCTATGACGACTTCTCTCCAAGTTGTCGCTGTACAAGTAAACTTTCATATTGTAGTTTCAGTCATTTCTCTTTATTTGCCTCCTAATGAGCACATTGATCAGCAAGATTTAAATGATCTTTTAGAGCAGCTGCCTGAGCCTTTCATCATAATAGGAGATTTTAACGGCCATAGTCCGCTCTGGGGTAGTAAAGATACAAATTGCCGAGGAAGACAAATTGAGCAGATGATCGAAGATCATAGCCTTTGTCTCCTGAATAATGGGCAGAATACTTACTTCCATGAGCCTTCAAGGACATTCCACGCTCTCGACCTTGCCATCTGTTCACCATCTCTGTTGCCATTTTGCACTTTTAGTGTGGGAAATGATCTTTACAACAGCGATCACTTATCCCATTTTTGTATCTCTTGCACGAAGAGGAGCAAACCCCATGTCGAGATCCCCTCGATTCATACTGGACAGGGCAGACTGGGAACTCTTCTCTTCCATTGCAGAGCTCACAGATGAAATGGTAGAAGATGCGCATATCGATGACGCTGTTGAAGCTGTTACTAATACTATTATTCAGGCAGCTATGCTTTCGATTCCTAGAACATCAGGAAAAATACTGAAATATTCGAAACCATGGTGGAATCGCGACTGTCATGAAGCACTGAAAAAACAGAAAAAAGCATGGGGTATTTTTCATAGATATCCTACTCTGCGAAACCATATAGCATTTAAAGGAACCAAAGCAAATGACGAAAAGTAAGAAGGCAGAGCCAGAGGGATTCGTGGATTTCGTATGTGTCATCAATAACATCCTCTATACCTAGTAAGCGAGTTTGGGAAAGGGAAATGCATGCGGAATGTATAAAAACCATTTGCTTTCCTTTTTGGATAAAGGTGGCCGAATGATTAGCTCTATAGAAGAAATTGCAAATAGCATTGGTGAGACATTTGATGCCGTTTCTTCCAGCAGAAATTATTCACCTGCATTTCTTTCTATGAAGCAGCGCTCTGAGAGAAATCCCATCGCTTTCAACTCTTTGAGCCTTATAATAGAGATTTTACTATGCTAAGGTGCGGGTATTTAACAGTTGTATTTAACAACTGTTAAATACAAATGTATTTAACAGTTGATACATGAATACTGTACACAACATTACACTACACTAATATACATATTTATGTTATCTATTACTGCCCATTTTCAGGCAATGACAAGTTTTAGATATATATATATATATAAAACTGTTACTATAGCTTTATCTTCTTATAGCTCAATAAACAGTACTTTATATAACACCAGAAAAAGTAGTCGTGAGATAATATAGTTACAAAATCACATATAGTTAAAGGAGGAATACAAAAAATAACTATTTTGTCTCAATCTCACTCGATCCTGATTAAAAATTTTTAGGGAAAAGCTTTTTCTTTTTTGCTACTTTTGCAGCCAACTTTTCTAATTTCCGTTTGCGAGGTAGTCTCAATTTCTTTTCAGCAGCTTTTACACAATCCATTGATACTTTTTTATTTTCTGCAATGTTTAATTGCTTCTTTTTTTAGATTCTCGCTTCTCCTTTTCTATCTCTAGCTCTTCTTTGAACAGTTTATGAGCATTCCTTAAATTTTTACTTGGAGTTTTGTGTACTGGATAATGCAAGTGGATATCCGTATGTCCGACAGATGGCGCCAGCACCGATCGTTGAAATTATTGAAGTTAGCTCTCGTTTGACGGTTGCTTGCTCTTCTTTGATTCGATATTCGTACGCATCTAGTTCTACTTTTCCACATAAACAGCACCTGCTTCGCCTTGATGTGAAACAACGTATTTCGCGATCTCAGGTCAGGCAAACTCGAAAAGTTTGCAACAAGGGTTGTCCGCGTTTGATCGTTAACCCGGCGTAATATTATGCGATGGCATGATGTAAAGTTTTTTTACAAAGGAAAGAGGAAGAGAGATAGCATGTCCTCCATTTACCCCACCCACCCCTCATTTGCCGGTCGCGATTTCTCAACGCTTGAGCATTGATCTCAAAAACAGCCCGGGTGACGTTCAAAAAAGCCGAATTCCGCGAAAATACGGAAAACTTTCATGCCTGTAATATGCTCCTTTTGGTGACATCTATTCGTAAAGCTTTTGTAAGAAGAAATCACCTTGTCTCAATTTTCTTTGATATAGAATATGATAAGGCATACTTTGTGATGTTCATGAAAGTAGCTTGCATGGCAACTTACCTTTTTTCATTCAGAATTTTTTTGAAAGCTAGAACTTTACAATTAAGGATTGGCACTGCTTTGTCAGAAGTTTTCACATAGGAAGAGGGTGTGCCTCAAGGCTGTGTGCTTAATGTAATCCTGTTCAGCATTAAAATAAACTCTATTAAAACAACTTCCTCTTACCATCTCAGTATCTTTATATGTTGATGACTTACAAATTGAGTGTTGGGGTGCAGATGTGAGACATGTAGAGAAGCAGCTCCAAATCACTTTGAACAGGATACAGGAATGGGCAAACAGACAAGGATTTACATTTTCGAAACAGAAGACTGTGCATGCACTTTTTAGAAGCTCCATCCTGAGCCTGAATTATATCTCAATGTGTCAATGATTCCAGTCACCTCAAGTAAAATTTTTTGGAGCGACATTCAGCCCAAAACTGACTTTCTTTTCTTATGTCTTAAACCTCAGAAAAAAGTGTTTAAAAACAGTAAATATTTTAAAAGTCTTGGCAAACTTCTCCTGAGGTGCAGAGCGTTACTCTATACTTCACATTTACAGAGCACTTGTTTGCTGTAGACTGGACTATGGCTAAGTTGTTTACGGATCTGCTTGGTCATCAGTATTGATAAAACTAGATCCTGTTTACCATCAAGCTCTGCGGATTTGTTCTGGAGCTTTCAGGACATCTCCTGTGCAGAACCTGTATGTTGACTCTAACAAACCATCACTTTATCTGAGGTGTGAACAGTTGTCTCTTTTGAAGTATTTTAATGTTGTATCACAATCTGAACATCCTAATAAGCTGTGCTGACTTGATAATGTGCATAGTTTTTTATTTGAAAGCCGTCCATCCTGTGTGCCTACCTTTCCTTTAAAAGTTCATCTTATCATTGAGGAAACTCTCCCTTTCTGACATGTGTCCCCAATCAGTGCAGAATTTAGAAATCCCACCTTGGAAAAATGCACAAATCCACCTTTTTAATGTTTTCAACTATCATGTGAATGGTAAGGACTAACAACATCGTTTACGGACGAGTCTTTGCTGAGCACAGGCGTAAATATTCCTTTTGTTCCTTATATGCCTTTTGTTTCTTTTGTTCCTAGTAATATGCTAATTTTTTTTTCTTTTCTTTTTTTTTCTTTTTAGGCAAGAATTAGAGGTTTGGATGATGTAACTATATCAAAGATTCATACAAGTGAGTCTTTATTCTTTAATTTTAACAGAGAAATTTCCAGTAGTTAATTTTAGTTTTACAATATTTCATTTGCCTGTAGGAAAAAAAAAAGTGTTATATCTTCCACAAGTTATTTTGCCTCATGATGTTAATTATTTTGAAACCATGAATTAATTTCTTGATGGCAACCAAATCACAGATGTTTGCATAAATTTAATATTCTGCTAAATGTTTATTCTAGGCATATTCTGATCATATAGTTAATAAAAAATGTAATTTTAAGAATATGTATATAATATGAAAATTCAGTAATCCGCTCACCTCAGATCAGGACTAAAAGCTGCATCAATTAGAACGTGGGAAATAGACCCCCCCCATGCTAACTGCAAAACTAGTGATAAGAAAATCGAATTACCTAAACGTGCAGAAATCCTTTGTCCTGAATGCAGGGTTGCCACGCTACCTGGAAAGCCTGAAAAAGTCGGGGAAATTCGAAAATTGACCAAAAAATTCGGGGAATTTAAATATTTTAGTCAAAATCTAGAAAACTCGGGCGAATTTCATACACCGATCCCCCCAAAAAGTGAGTTTTGCACCAACGTTGGAAGCGATCGCTTTCTTGGCGAATTGTGTATCGCGTAAGCGTCATTCGGGCAGCTGGCATAGAGCCATTTTCTTCAAAGCAAGTTTTCAGCAACTTTGGTTTCCGGTAACCTCGAGAATCACAAGTGCATGTGCAGTGCATGTTTAACTGAACAAAATACTTATTCTTGTGTAAAACAAAATCGGTTTAATCCTAGTACAGTCAAAAGTCGTTATCCGGACTCGTCGGGACTTCGGTGATTCCGGATTATAGATCATCAGTTTAAATCTGCTAAGATGGAATGCAGAAATTATAAAATTAAAAATATGAAACCATAATTTATGAAATAAAGAACAATTATGATCTAATGGGAACAAAAAAAAGGAGCTTAATATTTATTTGTTTACTTTATTAAACATTTCTTTCAATGTAAGTTGTTTAAGTTGCTTCGTTTTCTATGTGATAATACATTCTCTTCTATAAACAGACATAATTTCTTGTTCAGTTACGAAGTTCCGCTGTTCAAGTCCTATAATTGCTGTGTTGAGAATACCGACTAATTTGTCAATCGAAATTTTTTTGTTTTCAATAACCTCTGTTACTTTCTTTGCTATCGGAAGCGAATTATAATGACGAGGAATTTGATTTAAATGATATCAAAGACGGAGTACGTCGAGATGAAATACTACATTTAGTAAGGAATTATAAGCCAAATAAAATAAAAACATCTGCCGTGAAGATAAGGATAGTACTGACAGATCAACTTCCAATTCATTGCGCGCCGCGGCGTTTAAAGATAAACAAAGTTTAGATATACAAAGGATATGCCTTTATCCATTTTTGGCAGCAATTCCACTTTTTCCCCACTTCGAAACATACTTTCGCTTTGTAGATCCTTTACATATTAGTAAATATATATCAGAAATTCTATTTGACATAATCGAAAGTTCAAGCTTACTTTTATAAAATTGCACTAACAGTCTGAAAAAAATAGTAAGCCGAATCCAGTTCGATGATTAAGGAACAACACAATCGGCAACGTTAACTGAATGAGATAATTTTAGCTTAGCTTATACCGTCCATTAAACGCGCATTCGTAAACGTATTTTGCGCACACGCAGACTCACGCGCAGAAAGTTTGTAGCTTTGAGGTCCGGATTATGGGTGTCCGAATTAACGACTTTTGACTGTATACGGTACTATGAAAGTTAGATTCAAAGAATATGTATTGTTAAGAAGGAAAACTTCTCTGCAACAGGAGTGGCTCTGTTCCAACGTAGATCGACACAGCTGCACATGCGCGAATCCGGTGTCGAAGTTCGAAGATCATGTTATCAAGAGTTCGTAAAATGAATTTAGTTAAAAATTTCTCTAAACTTTAAAGCAAAAGAAAATATTTTTTCATGCAAGTAAATTAGTTAATGGATTAGTTATTTTGAGGGGAAAAAACTACGAAAATCTGCTTAAATTATTGCGAAAAATGAAAGAAAATGTTTTTTCAAAGAATGTTTCTTCTTAACATGTGTTCCTCAATTTCCTCCACATATTGCGGAGAGGAAAATTCTGCCCAGCAGGTTTTGTCGTCAAATCCCTTGGTGAATTTTCCCTCCGCTTTTTAGCCGCGTTATAGCATTATGTGTATGGTACCTTTTCTTCTTTACATAGATGTTCTTTGGTTAGAATAGCCTCCATGTATGGTACACACAGGATATGGCACAATGATGATGAGCAGTAAATGGGTCATTTTGGTGTTGGCGACAATTTTCAAAATCGTGGCAAGGCCTTATCGTATACTAGGATTTTACAAGATATTTTAAACCCCCCCTTTTTTTTCTTTTTAATAAATGCCTTATTTGTCATTTTGCAGTAAAATAAAAAAATTAGTAATCGGTCATCTAGGCTAACCAATAAATATAACTACATTCACTAAAATATCGTTGATTATTATAATTCAATTTTTAAGTAATTATCTTTGTTATTTGTATCATTTAATGCTACTTCTTCCCTCCAAATTTATTTATTATTAGTAAATAATACAAGTTTCAGGAAATTTTCTCTGTCAAAATCCTGAAATTAATTCTAGCAGTATTATGAAATGCCATCACGAAATTTAATGCACAAAAATTTTTGCATATGTATGCTGTTGAATAAATATAAAATACCTGAATTTATTTAAAAATATCATTAGATATATTTCTTTCTTTTGTTTAGCTGCAAAATGTCTGCAAAAAAGGTATTTTGAATCCAGATTAGGCAGATTCTAATCTCAATCTTCAGTGGAGAAAACAATTCACATTATAGTTAAAATAGTAATGATTTGGGGAATTATATGTATAAGTTATATGTAATTGTCAAATTTTTGTGTTCTCAGGTAATAACATAATTAATTTACCTCTTAGCACAGCCAATGTGCATTACGAGGATAGCCTGGAAAAGTCAGGGAATTTCATTCTCCTGTCCTCCAACCCTGTGAAAGGTAACTGAAATAAAAATTGTAATATGTAAGTTAAAATGAGAAAGCTGATTTACGACTTCCTGGCCAAATTAGTTAAGTCCAACGACTTCATATAACAGGTAGACGGCTCACCCACAGAGAATTCGTCTGCTAGGGTGTCTCCAACATATACCACGTGACTAATGCTCTTGGTGCTCTTGGGGAGTGATAGCTTAGGCTCTTCATCGCCAGTTTGGCCCACTTTTGATATGGCAGGTAGTGCTTTTTATTTCCGTCTGCTAGCAGTCAGCAGACAACGGCCTCGAATTAGGTTGTTCGATTTTTTACAATTATATTTAGATATAACTTAACCCCTTTTTTCCTGAATATTTTATCTATATTTTTAATAATCGCTTTAAATTATTTGCACCATTGTTTAAGATGTTTAGTTTAAATAATTTTAGGAAGAAAATCTAAAATAAATAATAAAAAATTGAGATCGAAACTTTAATTTTGAATAACGTTAAAAAATTAATTGCATTACTCTTATAATGTTTGAGAAGGTAAAAAAAATCTCGTTTAATTTTAATGCATTGCATCCTAAAGAGAAAAAGAAAATTACATTGTATTATATGTATTTATGCCATTGATTGCCTCTCTTTTCTTGAGATTATATTACTGGAACAAACTAATGCAATCTTAATTACTGATTTCCACACTCATGTGTATGTCATGGCGGGGATCAATACATCTTATTAACTATAACAAATATTTTATATTGAATATGTATCAGACGGTAACAAACTTCAACTCAGTATTTATTATTAGGATCAAAACGATATTACAGTTAAAAATTCTCTCACTCTCCTTTTTTTTTTTTAATACTATTTAAAATATGGTAAGTTTTTCACATCACATTTTTTCAATTATAATAAATTTCTAACATCGTAGACGAGACAGCATTATAATCCAGATTATTTTTATTTTAATTGATTTTATAGAAAATAATGATAAAGCATTGAGCTTTATGAAAGTAATCTGATTTTTAAAATAACGCTGTTTTAACTGTTTATGTTCAATGTTGCATGAATCAAGATCTTCAGCTTTTTTTTTTTAACAAAGTAAACATATCGCACAATCTTTTCTCAATAATTTAATGCTAATAATAGCATTTTTCTTTTTTTATCGCAGGCAGTAATTGTTTATGAAATCAAAACGCGTACGACTTGGCGAAAAAAGGTTAACGCCAATTGGCGCAGCTTTCTATTTCAACGGAATACACACGGAAAAAGAATTATAAAATTCAATTAATTACATGTAAAGGGTGATTCCAGTAAATAGTGTCACAGTATTTAATTAATACATTTTGATGCTAATAATACATGCTGAAAATGTCATATACAGCGGCAATTTTCTTATACAATATGCTGAAACTTTCCAACCAATGCAACAGAGATAGTAAAAATGACAAAAATACTGAAAATAAAATAATAAATCATGCAGTTTTAACTTTACCTATGGAAAGGTTACAAGTCCTCCTTTCATGAAACTTTCTTTACATCCGTAGGCGCTGCAGCGAATAACCTTTTTTACTTAAATTTTATGTGATCAAGCAAAGCAGCAGTCTTTCGTCTCATAGAAAGCAATGTAAAGTATTTCCGGACTTTCGGAATTCGCGCAGCAGTCACGTGACACTAATGTTGGAACCGGTTGAAGGTTGCAATACGCTCTCTACCAGTATACTATCTTGTTGGTTAAGTCCCCAAAGAAGAAATTCGACAATTACCTTAACTACGTTCAGTTCTACTGTCAACATAAAAAGCCATAAACCAGATGTCTTTTCGTAACGTTTCCTGTCTTTGTTACAGAACTACACTGCAAGAACTACCAGCTAAAAAGGCTTTAACAATTTTCGAATAATTTTTTACCCATTTCAAATATAAATGAGTACAAATAAAAATACTAGAATAATAACTTAAAACAAACATTAATATCTGAAATTCG